AAGGATGTTAAAGTAAAGAAAAAGAAATTCTTTAATATTAAAAAGAAAAACAGAAATAGATTATCGTTCTTTAGAATACTCCAAATCGTTTATCAAAACGTCGTATATCAAATGAATCCGAATCATCAATTAATGAGAATGAAACTAAACGAAGCAAAAGTAATTTTAAAAAAAAATATATTATTGTTTCTATTATTTAATATAATTTCTATTTGTATTCTAGCTCAAGATAAATCTAAAATAATGAAAAGTGTTATTTTTGTTTTAAGTGGCTTTCAAAATCCATTAAGATCTGAATTACGTAATAAAGCAACAGCAATGGGCGCTATTTATAATGATGATTGGGATGAAACATGTACACATCTTATGTATGTTTATATGATTTTAATTTTCGAATAAAAATAAAATATTAAAATTTTATTTTAAATTTCAGTTGTGCATTTCCAAATACACCAAAATATACACAAGTTAAAAAAACAGGAAAAGGATTTATTGTTAATAAACAATGGATACCTGATTGTTTTAAACAAAATCAATTATTATCCGAGAAAAATTATGAATTAAAAGGATCGAATAATGATAGTAGTACTATCAAGAAAGATACACCAAATCGAATATCAGAAAAAAACCAAAGAAAAACAATGAATTTTTATGATGATAATGAAGAAGAAGAAGAAAAAACTGAAAAATATTCATTATCAAAAGATGTAATAAGAAAAACATCAGTTAAAAAAATTATGTCAACATTTGATGATGATGATGATGATGAACCTGTAATTTCAAAAGATACTAAACGAAAATCACAAACTAAAAAAAAACTGACAACTTTCGATGATGACGATGATGAAGAAAGCATAGTTCCAAAAAATGTAACAAAAAAGATGACGCCTTCTGATGATGATGACGGTAATATGAATATTATTATATTTTTGATTAATTGGTGACCCATAAAACGATGAGACAGTTTAATTTTCTGGTTTTTCAAGAACGAAAATAAAGGGTGATCCAAAAGTCTTAGGCCCTCTCAGAAAAATTGTCCGTTCTCCCTTATAGTAAACTCAAAAATGCTCAAACTTTGGTATCTTATCCCTTGCAGGTAGGCGAATGTTACCCCAAAGTTTCATGTCTCTTTCCCTTATTATAAAGGAGATATATAGGCTAATACTCTAGAAATCTTATTTTTCCCAGTCCAAAAAAAAATGGTTGGCGCATAATAAATGGGCCATTTTTGCGTTTCATTTTTCCGCCACTTAATACGTTCTATTAAGAAAACCAAATATACCTCAAGATGCAGCGTGAAAAGCTCTACAATTTACACAATAAACCGTATTTTAATTATATAGTTTTTGCCTCCAAAAAACAGCAAAACTCCATGCAATCAATTTTCGCCGTCGTAAAAAAATCGTTTTTTTCGACACGAACGAAAAATTTGTTTGCTTTTCACCTTTTTGTCACCTAATACATTTTATTAAGAAAAAACAAAATATACCACAAGATGCAGCGTCAAGTGTTCTACAATTTACAAAGAAAAGCTTGTTTTAACTGTGTACTTTATGTTTTCAAAAAAGAAAAAGCAAAACTTTGCGCGAGCAGTTTTGGCAATGGCACAAATTAATTGTACAGAGTTTTGCTTTTTTTCGAAAACAAAAATTACATAATTAAAACACACTTTACCGTGTAGATTGTAGAGCTTTTCACGCTGCATCTTATGGTATATTTTGTTTTCTTAATAGAACGTATTAAGTGGTGGAAAAATGAAACACAAAAGTGACCTACGTAGATGTATTCTGCACCAACCATTATTTTTTGCACTGGGGAAAATAAGAGTTCTAGAATGTTAACCTATATATCTCCCTTATGATAAGGGATAGAGACATGAAACTTTGGGTAACATTCGCCTACTTACAAGGGATAAGATACCAAAGTTTGAGCATTTTTGAGTTTACTATAAGGGAGAATGGACAGTTTTTCTGAGAGGGCCCAAGACTTTTGGATCACCCTTTACTATTCAAACGTATCATTCTAAGCTCATTCAATAGGAAACTTGTTGTTGCTCTGCAAAAATTCGTTTAAATAAGTTTTTCTTGTCGATGAAAAATTAGAAAGATTGATGACTGTTTCATTGTCCGACTGCGATGTCGAACTATTTCTTCAAGATGCTAAACTTACAATATGTAGCATCAATAGTCCTGTTTCTCAAAAGTTGACATGTTCTATGAACTGTTTATCATTATATCATTGAATGCAGAATTTAATTTTGAACAAATTGGTATAATTTTTAAGTCGAAAAACAAAATCCGTTAGATTATTCCCAATGGCATAGAGCTATTAGAAGGAGACTTGTGCGTCGTTGTCTAATTTTCGCTTGAAATATTGTTCTTCGTACTGTATGTTTGTTCAAAAGTTGCGCAACTTCTCGAGGCAATACTTCATGGTATATCCTCCAGCACAGTTTAAATTTTGATGAGACTGTTATTTAAACATATTTCCAATAATTATTTTGTTTTTTGACAGTCGCAGTCGGCAACTGAGTGTCTGTCAATTTCGAATAAACTTTGAATGGTATCTTTACATTGTGTTGTTGCCGTCAAAAACAAGAAAATCGAAGTTTTCCATTTGTTTTATGGATCATCCATTATGTTTCAAAATTTTGAATGAATCAGTCCTTTTTTATAGTTGTCTCTCATAGAAATGACTTTATGTAGTTCATCCTTTCTTTCCTCTGAATCAATCGATGGATGATACCCATTTTCTAATCGTTTTATCTTTATTAAGTCTTCAAAAAACAGTTGTCTTCCACTAACTGTTACTCGAATACATAATCAACAATCAGAATACAAAAGCTAAGTTAGTCAAAGGTCATATAACTATATTATATATTCAATTCAATAACGTATAGTAGGCATTTTCTACTCTAGACATAGACTTAGATTGTTTTTTGTAGAAATCATATTTTTCTTTTTCTTAACAATATTAGTTTTTACTATTTAGAAAAATATAACTGATGAAGTAACTGAAATTCAAACGAAACTTTTTTTGCTGCATCGAAAAATCCTTGTGAGAACTGTTACCCTAAATTTCTCTAATAAAATTTCTAATTTCCAAAACTAAAAAATTGCAAAATATTCGACATCATTTTTCACTGAATTTGAATTGATCCTTACTTTTATTTAATACTACTACTGAACTCGAAAGCAACTTGACAAAAACTATCTCTTCATTCTGACGTATTTATGCATAGGTAGTGGTTATGTCGAAATTTCATTAGTATTTCAATTGTACTAAAATGTGTGCACTCACTTCACTAAATATATGTATTTGTAACACATAATCGGAATAAAAAATGTTAATTATTTTTGCTGAAAAAAAAACATCCTTGAACAGGCGATCTTTTTATATCAATCGATAGAGCACAAACTCTTCTTTCACAAACTAAATGACTTACTTATAAGGCTTGTTTATGTTGCGTAAAAAGCGATTTTTTTTCTTTCATATCCTCAAGAGATGCTCTGTTGTTTATGACTGCATTACGTTTTACGAATCCATAAAATCGAAACAAATTCTTACATTTCATTTTATTGACTATACACTAAGGTACAATGTACATTATTCAAACCAATAAAAATGCCAATATTATTTTTTTTTTGCCAGATGTCGATGCTATTATTTCTCATGAAAACTAGAATTTTGTTATATAATAATTTATTTTCTTTTTTAGTTTATAATGCTGAAACTGATGAAGATGAACCAGAAACAAATAAAAAATCTTTTGAATTAGCAAATTTTTTTCATGGAAAAAATTTTTATGTATTCATGAATGATTTTGATGATAATACACTTCGTGATATACGTCGAATTATTTATGCTTATGATGGAATATTAGAAAAACAAATTACATCAGATGTTCAATATGTTATTACAAATCGAATATGGAATCAAGAGTTTGAAAAAGTATAAACAAATTTTTCTATCAAAGATACACAGTTACAGTTCTTTCCTTTAGTGAAGAGTCTACATCCATCCTTTAAAACAATTTCTAGCTAAAAGTAGACTTCCTCAAATGGGCTCCAAACTAAAGATGTGTCCAACCAAATTTATTCGATTTTGGTCTAAAGAAAACTGTTCAAAAATTTATTCATATTACACCTAAAATAATTCATCAATACTCATTTTAAGATAATTTTGCTAAAAATCATAAAATATTTTACTATAAACTTGTGTTCTAGAACCAGCAAACATTTTTCTCGTAATCTGATTTCTAGTAAAGTTTTATTTTTTGGTCCCGCACACCTATATACTCGATGTGAGTGTGATGAGCTCTAGTAGTTTGACAAATTTGTAGGACGCGCTAGCCACCAAATACAAAAAAAAAGCAGAACAAAATATCGCGTATCTTCGGGACAACTATCTGTACTCGATTAGAAAACTTTATTGACAGTATCAAAGCATAGTTTGATTGTGTCCGAGTTCAAAAATTATGAATTCGAAAGGCTCTTGTTGAAAGTACGCTTCGATGAAGCTTCAATGAATCAGTGTTATATGTACTTTTTGATTTACATATATATTTTTGAATAATACTTCTGACTGGTAAATATACTTGTTTTTTTAATACTCTTACAATTTAAATAATCTATCTATTTGTAAGATACAGTCTTAAATAATATTCAAAGAACAACATTCACTTTCATCAAATTATTTATTTATGTTCGTTCAATACTTTTAGATATCAAAAACAAATCCCGAAATAAAATTTCTCTCACTCGATTGGTTACAAGATTGTCATGATGAAAATAAATTTGTTCCATGTCAACCCTATTTAATTGTACCTTAAATTAAACAAGATATATATATATTTTTTTTATTGTTGTATATATATATACATAAAGATAAGAACAGAATGAATAATATCATTTGCGATTTATTATTAAAACGTTATTTTTTGTTTGTGGAATCTTCACTACAATAGAAATATTTTCAGATAAATATAAATATTTTTCATAATGACAGAAACAATGATTCCTGATCATTCAAATACAATGATAACAGGTGAGTTTTGTATTTATTTTAATTTTATATTTTTCTATAAATAGAAACAGATTTGTTTTGTTATGCATGTCTTTTCTTTTTATATAAATTAATGATCAATTATCTTTCAAAAAAATCTCAGTTTTGTATTTTTTTCTCTTTTCTTCTCCGTGTTGCAGAAAAACATTTATCAATATGAATAAGTTTCGACATACAAATCTTCAATCTACAGACAATTATCAACATCAAAAAAAAGAAAAGACTTCAGACAGACTTTTGAAAATATCTTTTGTTTTTTTTTACTTTGTCGTCTTCTTTTATCTCCCTATTTTAGGTGTTCAACATTATTCTACTTATCATTAACAAAAAGAAAGAAAGAAAGAAACTACGAAATTTGTTTTTTTTTTTGAAATTATCTTGTTGTTTTTCGCTTTCTTTTCTCTATCCCTATTTCAGTGACAACATTAATCGAACATGCTGTCCATATATGCCTGATCATCTAGAAATGTTCTCTAAAAAGAGGTTATATTTGTTATATTTTGTATTTTTTTATCTTTTTTCTAGACAATGGTCAAACAACGAATTCTAATGAAAAAAAAATTACACTTCAAGATGTACCACGTTTACCACGTGAACTTACTCCATTTGCACCATTTATAAATGTTATTGAATATGATCAACGTGGTCCATTATTTCAAGGACCTGGATCAAAACGTGACACAGGACGTTATAAAGTTCGACCAGTTGATGATGATAATGTTAAACGTGCAAAAAAATTTGCGTTGGAACAAAGTGTTAAATATGTTCTTGTTAGACAACAACAACATCAACAACGGGCACAATTAGATTTAATCAAAAAACAACAAGCACTTTTATTAATGTGTCGGTAAATATTTCTTTTTATATTATGATATTAAATTCAAAGAAATATTCATTTTATATCAATTTTAGAATCTATATTGGAAGTATTAATTTTGAATTAAATGAAGCTATGCTTAAACAAGCATTTCAACCATTTGGTCCAGTGAAATCAGTTTCATTAACATTTGATCCAGTAACTAATCGTCATAAAGGTTTTGCTTTTCTTGAATATGAAACACCTGAAGCAGCACAATTATCTATTGAACAAATGAATGGAGTTATTCTAGGTGGAAGAAATATTAAAGTAAAAGAAAATTAAAAAAACAATTTTTTTTTATTATTAATTTTTATTTTCTGTTATACAAATAGGTTGGTCGACCTTCGAACATGCCACAAGCACAACCCATTATTGATCAATTAACAGAAGAAGCAAAAAATTATAATCGAATTTATGTTGCTTCTATTCATCCAGATTTAACTGAAACAGATATTCAAAGTGTATTTGAAGCTTTTGGTAAATAAAGAAAAAAAAAACGATGATATATTTTTTGAAAACGACAATCATGTCATATTTTTGTTTTTTTTTAAGGAAAAATTAAAAGTTCTTCAGTGGCAAAAGATACAGCAACAGGAAAACATAAGTATGTGTATCATCTTTTTTTATTATGATATTTATGTTTTAATTAATGAAATTTTAGAGGTTATGGTTTTATTGAATATGAAACAGTTCAAGCAGCGCAAGATGCAATCAATTCAATGAATTTATTTGATCTTGGTGGTAGGTTATGTTTTGCTGAGAAATGGGCTACTGCTTATTATGAAAATTTTTACAAAAGACGAAAAACAATCAATTAATTTCTTCTGAGAGAATGATTATTTTCATACACTCGTGCATGTAGAGGAAAATTTTCGGAGAATCATTGTCTATATGAAAACTTTCTAATGTTGAAAATTAGCTCGTAAAGTTTTTCTTTCATAGCAATCAAAACACGTAGTTCATTCCCAAATTGCATGGTTAATTTCTTAAAAGAAAACAATTCAATTACTTTCTTTCATCATTAAATAAGTCTCTCTTTCGACTTGCATTTCTTGTATTTTAATTTATTCTGTTCTCTGAATGGAAACAGTATCAAAGTATTTTGTCTTCTTGCATTGCTGTTTAAGTTTACCTTTGTTTTATTTTTTCTTAATGCACATAACACACTAGTTTATACGAACTGCACAGGAACCATCGAAGATAATCTAGCAAGTTAGAAATTCTCATTATTCTACTAATTTCCACTCTAATCTATCAATCTTATCCTTACCTTCGGTGGTTTCATCTTGATTTGAGGCAACTAATGTTATATGAACAGTATTTAGCATAAGAAGTCTTACGTCCTGGCTCAATTGTGATGAATTATTTCTAGAATGATCAAGTACGACAACTATCAGTGATTTCAATGATTGATAAAACTTACGTATTTTTACATAGTATCATTTAAGAATTTCTCTTCGTTGGGACAAATTTTCTATTTTTAGTGGTAGGTTCTGCACCCTTGATTATAAGCTGAGTAATTTAATTGTTGTAATATTTGTCAAATTGATGATCAACATGAATACAAATAAAGAACAAAAACTAATAGAATGATCTCACATAAAGCAACTATGTCAGCCACTATATCAAACATCTCTAAAAATCTACCTTTATTAATATACCATAGTTATTCATGTATAATTATCACGAAAAGTAATTATTTCAGAAAGTGAGATATGGATGTTCTCTTTATCTAAATGTCACAAGCACCTATTTTAGATCCATATTTACTATGAAATATTTTCGTTTATTTCTTATTGCTGTTTTTTCTTTATTTATTATAGGACAATATCTACGAGTAGGAAAAGCGATAACACCACCTGAAGGTTTATTTGCTTCGACTCAACCAATAGCAAGTCAAATGCCAACAGCTGCGGCATTAGCTGCTGCTACAATCACAGCTCAACTACAAGCTAGTGATGTTGAAACTAATGCGCCATCCATTGTTGTAGAATAAATTTCGAAATGATAAAATCTAATGAATTAATTATTTTTTCTCTAGACTACTTCACAAATTATCAATAATCCATTAACACAAGTTGGTTTTCTTGGTGGTACTATTGCACCAACAACAGTTGCAGCTGCTCTTTCGGCTGCTTCTTATGGTGGTGCATCAGCTGTAACATCCAGTATAAACATCGTTTTTCTTTTATTGATGAGTATTATTTTTTGTTCAATTCTACTTTTAGTGATTTCTACTATACTCAATACAACTGCTGCCATACCAAATGTAATTCCTCAACCATCAATTATTGGTTCACCTGGAATTCTTTCGAAGTAGATCATTAGTATTATTTTTTTGTTTTGATCTTTTTTACAAAAAACTTTATGTTTAGTTTTGCGACACCACTTGTCAGTAATCTTCCTACTTCTACACCAACACCACAAACGCTAAAACCACCTCCGCCTCCTCAGCGTAAACATTATGTTTTTCTCTTATTTATATTGAAAGAATAAATATAATTATAGTAATTATTCCTCCACCACCATCATCATTAACAATACCTCAACCTACTCTATTAGAAGAACCACCAATACCTGTTGGATTAAAAGTTGATTTACAATCCCAACAACAACAACAACAACAACAACAACAACCACCGCAACAACAACAATATCCATCAATTTCACTTGTTCTACCAAAAAATCCATCATCAAATAATTTAGATATAACCGACAGTCAAAAAACTGTTTCAGATTTAAAAAATACTGATGATCCGTTGGCTAGTTTATCTCAACAAGAAGAGCTTAGTGTTAAAGGTATATTTTGATAAATTTTTTAATAGAGAAAAATTTTTCTTTCTTTTGTTTCTTTAAAATTAAGGTCGTGAACAACGGCATTTACTAATGCAAAAATTAAATCAACGTCGACTTGATTCACGTGTATGTGTATTAAGAAATATGGTTAGTTCAGAAGAAGTTGATGATGATTTACAACAAGAAATTACAGGTTGAATTGTTATTTTAGTTTCTTTCTATTTTAGCATCTATCTGTTTGTTTTGTTTTATTTTTTTGTAGAAGAATGTTCAAAATATGGTGAAGTTAATAAAGTTGTTATTTACACTGAAAAACAAGGCGAAGAAGATAATGCAGAACAAATTGTGAAAATTTTTGTGGAATTTAAAAATAGTAAAGGTAAAATTATATTTTATTAACATCGATATGTATACATATATTAAAAAAATAAAAATTATTTTAGAAGCAGAAAAATCAGCTGAATCACTTAATGGTCGATGGTTTGGTGGTCGAATGATAAAAGCTGAATTATATGATCAAGTTGCTTATCAAGCTGAAGATCTTTCTGGTTAAATAAACTCTTTTTTGTTTTTTTTTTCTCTTTGTCTGTATCTTCAGTCATTGTATATTCACTTCTTTTTTTTGTGTGTATGTTAACAAAAGAAAAACTAACCAAAAGCAATAAAATACTAAACATACGTATGATTAATATAATCTTTTTCTTTCTTTAACTGCAGATAATAAGAAAAAAAAAGGATTCAGATGATTTTATTAATCATTGATTTCGAATGATAATGATATGAAAGAAGAAACTAATAATGTGAATTATCAATTATATTTTATCTAAACTTTATTTTATTAATTTCAAGTACAGTAGATATTTGTTTTTTTTGTAGAAAGTAATGTTTTGAGTTCATATATTTCATGACTGGTCATGTTAGTAAGGTGCTAAAAAAATATCCAGAAAAATAACATCTATATAGGTCTTTAACATTCATAGCGAAAAGAAATATCTGTTTTATTTTTAACTCATATTATAATTAAGAAAAAAGCAAATTTGCTTATGTGAAAACAATAAATAATTTCCATTCCTATAATAAGTTAGAGTTGTGCAGGGTAAGAGTAAGAAAATTTTTTTCCAGTCAGAATATGAAATACGAAAAAAGATTACTCTGTATACCTCTATTTGATACTAATGTATTATTTATCTACGTTAGATTGTCATATTTCTTTTGCAATAGGTTAATCATTTCCAACTAAAAACGATTAACTTTGTAAGTTGATGATTCAACTGATGAAATGTTTATTTTGAGTGTGGAACAGAAAAATGTTATCTTTTTAAATTAGAACTATCAGTTATATATAGAAAGTTTCACTAAATATCAATAGTCGCAACTTGATACTTTGTATTTCCATCTCCATAAACTGATGTTGTCGTTGAATTCATCTTTCGATGTTCATCGTTATTATTTAATAATTGAAGAGACTTTTTAGTTGTTTCAATTTGTTCTTCGTTTAATTTTTCATCATTATTTTCATTTAAATTACTTTGAACATGAATCATATTTTTTGGACTACGATTTTGTAGATCACGTACAGCTGATACACGTGCTTCAATTTTTCCTCGATGTGTTTTTTCAACACGTTGACGACTATAAAATGAAATAAATCAATTTTTGGTGTTTTAAAATAATTGGTTTTTTTGTTTATTTACGCTAAATCAGCTTCATTAGCTTGATCGATAATTTCATTAGCTTGAATAATATTATTCGTTTTGATTTTCTTTTCATTTACACGAGCATGTAAAATTTGATTTTGTCGTGCTCTTTCATGTTCTAATTTAATATCTAAACCTTCCATTTTTAATATAAGTTCTGCTGTTTGCTAAAAGTAACAAAAAAAAAACACCAGTGATTTTATAATATTTGTATTAAACGAAATACTTTTTCAAGCATATCATCAGATAATTGATTATTTTTTTTATTTTCTTCAGCATGTTTTCTTCTTTCACGTCGACGAAGATATTTAAGAACAGCAGCTTTATCTGTTGGATGTTGTTTATTATTTTGATCTGTTGAAATAAGTGCTTTAAAATATGCTCGATATGTTGAACTTGTAGTTGAATTCGAACGTACATCAGAAAATTCATCAATATCACGTTTTTTTCGCATAAATATTGATAATGGAATAGCATTTTCTTAAATAAGATTAGTTTTTATTAGAGAAAAAAAAAGAAACATCTGATATTTACCGTTACTAATTTCTTTTGTTGTTTTACATTTTGAAATTTCTTCAAGTTGTCTTCGACACTCATCTTGTTCACGTTTAAATTCTTCAAATGAACTTCTTAATATATTTCGACTTTCATCTAATGTATTTAGAACATGTTGACTATCGTCTTTTTTTATTTTATCAACTGCACGTAAAATAAGTTCCTAAAAACCAAAAAATTAGTGATTTCTTGTAAATGATTTTTCTTTTTCATATTATCTTACTTGACTCTTCGGATTTAAACTATTTAAATCAGATTCAGAAGTATTTCTTTGATGAGAATCTGGTTTACGTTTTCCAGCAGCTGTTATTGCTTGTCGAAATTTAGTTGTAAAACTTTCATTGTTTAGTTGTTGTTGTGAACTTGGTTCAAAATGATAAGATGTTGATAAAGAATTTTGATTTTGTGCTCTTGATGAATCCATTGTGAATAGTGACAAGAGGAAAAACAATAAAAAAAAAAAAAGAAATTTTCTATTTGTTAACTTGAGTAAAGAAAAAAAATACGGATGTTAAAAAATTTAATAACATAAGAGAACAAAATAGAAAATAAGACCAACTAAGCCGAGAAAAAATAAAAAAAGTGAATAGAATGAACTAAACGATTTACGTCATCATTATTATCATAAAAGAAAAAAAACCTAGAATAGTAATACGTAGATGGAAATAGAATTTCAATTCTTCCAAGTGTTTTTTTTTGTTTTTGTTTGCCCTTGACTAAATCTAACTGAGTAAATATTATTACAAGTTACTTCAACATCAAAAAAAAATTCTTTTATGTTGTATTCTACTACATCTAACAGATACTTGTATATTAAGTGACAACCAAAAAGAATATAGTAATAAACATTGTTAAAAGTCATTGCTGATGAAAATTCGTATGGTTTTGTTGTAATTCTACGCTTAGTCACTAATTCTATTGTAAAACTAGTTCACAAAGACAATTTCTCATGATTATTAAGTTTTTTAATAAATTTATAATAGCAATTTAAGCGCTTATAAAATACTTATTTCTTATAGTCAAGAGGAAAAAAACAAAAATTCCATACTTGACTGTACTGTAAGAGCATGTCATAGCCGAAGGAAAAATAACAGACTTCACGAAAGTTCAAAACTGAAATCTTGGATGTTTCTCTCTCCGTCAAAGCTGTACTTTAGAACTTCTTGGCTATTTCAAGTCTATGATCAAAATGTGTCACGAAAAGCGGTATAGCGAAAAGAAAAAGTAGGCGAGCAAGAAAATTTTTTGAGAGCTGAAAAGGTGCATGTATAACTTTTCAAAAAAATAGGGAATTGTTGAGCTTTCTTTTTATCACGTGACGAGATTTTTTTATAATAAAAGATACGATTTTGCCTAGAAAAACTAAAAATTTTCTAACAGTAAGTAGTATGTGCACCTCGTGAACAATTAAATATTTCTAGTTGAATGTCATATGGATTTCTATAAAATGAACTGGAACTAATAAGCTGACACAATTTGAGAGTAGACTTGAAAGAGTCAAGAAGTTGTTGAGACTAGGTTTGAGATACCCATGGAGTAGCGCAAAGTACGGTATTTTCGCTTTCTTCCCTTTGATTATGAAAATTACATCAAGATAATGGAATTAATTCAAAATAACATCGATATTCTAGAAATAAAACAAGAACTGATTTATTTTCTTAGTTTTGATATTGTTCTTTTGAACATTAAAGAAAAAGTTTTCAAAATTTCTTTTTTTGTAGATCGATACAATGAATTTTCATCTAAAAAAGCGTATCGTTTGTGCCATGTCTGGTGGTGTTGATAGTTCGGTATCTGCAGCTCTATTAAAGAAAAAAGGTTAATCACTTTACATTTTGTACCTAAAAATAGTTGAATTCGATTTTATTTCTTCTTTTCAAGGTTACGAAGTCATCGGTTGTTTTATGCGTAATTGGGAAAAACATGAAGATGATGATAGTCAAACAAAATGTACAAATGATAAAGATCTTGAAGATGCTATTTATGTTAGTAATCAATTAAATATTCATTTACATATAGTCGATTTTATAAAAGAATATTGGACAAAAGTATTTGAACCATTTCTTGATGATTATCAACATGGTTTAACACCAAATCCCGATATACTTTGTAATAAATATATTAAATTTGATTCATTATTAAAATATTGTCAAGAACGTTTGGATACAACATATTTAGCAACAGGACATTATGCACAAATAAAACAAGATGAACGAGGAATTAAGTATTGATTTCATAGAAGAAAAAAAAGGAAATAGAAAAAAAATATTTTCTTTTTCTTTTATTTATTATAGAATATAAATTAATGCGTGGTTATGATTTAAAAAAAGATCAATCATTCTTTTTATGTCATCTTAAAAATTCTGTATTACCATTCATTGAATTTCCCGTTGGTAGTATGATGAAATCTGATGTAAAACGTTTAGCAAATGAAATGAATCTTGAAAGAATTGCTCAAAAACATGAAAGTAAATTATAAGAAAAAAATGATTTTTATTTTTTGTATTTTTTTTTTACTTAATTTTTTTCTTTCATATAGGCATGGGTTTATGTTTTGTTGGCAAACGAAAATTTTCTCGTTTTATTTCTCAATTTATTCCTGATAATATTGGTTATATAAAATTAATTGAAACAAATGAAATTATCGGCGAACATTATGGTTTACATTGTTATACAATAGGACAACGTATTACATCAATTAATAAAGAATATAAATCATCAAAACCATTATTTATTGCAAAAAAAGATCCAATTGAAAATATCATTTATGCTGTAAAAAAATGAAATTTCAAATACAATTATTTAATTATCTTTTCTTTTGATTTCAGGCACCTGGTACAAATCATCCGGCATTGTTTACAAATTCGTTTCATACAGATATTCCACATTGGATTGATGAAATGCCATTATTATTAAAAGAAACTGGAAAATATCAATGTGATTTTCGTTTTCAACACAAACATCGACCATTATCTGTTGTTATTTCACTTTCAAATAATAACACTTTACATGTATCATTACCTATTCCAATACGTTCTATATGTCCTGGACAAGTAAAATATTTCAAGAAAAGAAGCAATAAAATTGAAAAATTTCTAATTTATTTCTATTTGTTTATTTTAGTATGCAGTTTTCTATAATGGGAATGAAGTATTAGGTGCCGCACGCATTATTGATAGTGGTATATCATTATATGATTTAAAATGGACAGAACCGCTTATAAATTCGGATTTATTTTTAAATATGTGTTGATTTAGTTTCGTATGTTTCTTGTTCTTTTAAATATTTAAAAGAAAAAGACAAAAAATTCAAATGATACAAATCGAACTAATAGTTGTTTTAGTTTTTCAAGGAATGGATTATGGATATGTTCGAAAGTATAAATGTATTAAATTTCTTTTCAAAATATGTAATACAAATCGATACTTCTTCTCAATGATATCGTTTCGTTTTTACGGATAAATTGACAATTGAATAGAAAGTGATTTTAGCTTTAAATGAACAAGATCTCAGCTCTTTAAATATATGTTGAAAATCACAAATTCAAGTCATTGAATGAAACTATGGAATGTATATAAAAAAAGAAAAAGAAAAAGAAAAATTTTGTTTTTTTTTTGTACAACTGAGATATTATATGAAGTACACATGATAAACACGGATTTAAAGTGTCTGGTTTTGTTGTCTTTGTCATACGATGATGGCAACGTACGAAAAAAAAAGGATGAATATTATAAAATCGATCACTTTTATAGTACAATAATCTATTGAAAGAACCAAAGTATTGGTTTTATTTATTGCTAGCTAATTACTATTTATAAAATTACGTGGATCGATAAATCATCAAAGCATAAATATGATTAAAACAACTCTAATCTGTACTAGTATTGCTTTATTTCTTCTCGCTTTTACATTAATTTGTCATATTGTGGCAATGGTATATCCGCGATGGAAGTAAGTATTTTATTTTTCTCGAATACAATTAAGGTTTTTGAAAATTATTTTTAAATGATAAATACAGTGTTATAATGTAACAAAAACGTAACTACGTTACATCAATCCATTTAATTTGTTGTGAGATGTGCTTGAAAGCAGAAAGTTGAAAAAATTGAGTCTTAAAAGTACAAAAATTCAAAATTGATGAAGCCCTATAAATTTTCTGGTTTTTATTTTGTACTCAGAGCAATGATCTCAAATAAGGCTTTATCAGATAATAATTATGAAGAAATTGCTTTTGAAAGAAAAAGATATTCTTCAACTAAAACAAAAATCGACCAGAATCTATTTTTGAAAGATATGTATATTTTTAAATCTTATTTCTTTTATATGCCATAGAAAGATTTATAGTAAAATTCAAAAGAAATTTCATCGTGAGAGTCATTACTGAGATGAGTGATTATTTTGAATAATTAATATCAGATTTTTTTTTTAATCTTTACTTTTTTTAATTAAAAACAAATATTAAAATTCTAGAATATATGAACATCGTAAGGAGCCAAGTGATAAAACAATGTTCGTTGGTATATTTGATCGTTGTGAGTATCAACGGAGTAACAGCAGTTCTTTCTTCAATAAAACTGATCTCATTTGTAATCAGAATAAATATTGTTTTTTCAACAATGCTATATGTTATAATCGAATAAAACCATTTGCAAAAACATCCCCTGATATACAAAAAATCTGTAATATTAACAAAAATCCATATAATTGTGAGTATTCACCCATAACAAAAGGTCTTATTGCATGCACTATAATTGCTGCTTGCACACTTGGTATATCATTATTGTTAGTTTTTTCACACATACTGATTAATGAATTTAAGTACAAAATTCATATATTCATAGCAGTTATCACTATATTTTTATTGTGTCTTGGATTCATATTTATTCTTATAACACTTATTTTACTTGGTTCAACAATGTCTGATGATATATATCAATATCGTTATAATTTAGATTTTCTTTCATCATGTGACCGTATGTTTATAGATTAAACTTATGTATGAACGTCACACAATTGCTTTTGTTTTCTTTTAGCTTCGACAAAAGATGCCCTTAAAAACAATATCACAACCGAAGTTGATAAATATTATGACATTCGTCTTGATTGGTCAGGTGCTTTAGAAATCATAGCATTAATATTATCAAGTTTTACATTAGTTACACAAATCATCTATCTAATTTCTACATATCGCAATCGAATTGGTTAAAAAAAATTTTTTTTTTTGTCGACATTTCATTTTTTTTAAAACTTTTGGGTAAATAGTAGAATATTCTTTAGAAAAAAAAGAAAATCAACTTAATGAATCATTTTACATACTATAAAAAGAAAATCTTTTACTTTTCATTTCATTGTTTTTTTTTCACACTAGTTTTTATTAATGTTCATTTATATTTATTTATATATATATTAATAGATATTAAAACTTGATATTGATTTTTGTTTCTTCTAATTTCCTTGAAGACGATGAAGTGTCGATATGTCGGGTTTCCATACACCGGAATAGACTTTGGCTGGTTGATTATCTAGACGAGAAAGACTGATTTGTACTTTGACATCTTGAATATTATAATCTCCAATTTTGGTATTGTTATTACCAGTTCGATTTTTCTTAGACTTTTCATTAGCACGAATTGATGATAGGTCTTGGTGTTTACCTACTGAATTTGTTTCATTTGATTTATCATGAAGATCAGCATCTCTTGGTGATTGAATGATAACATTGACAACAGGTGTGTCTAAATCTTTTTGTTTAAAAAAACAAAAGACAAAAGTTAAACAAAAACACAAGAATTTTAATGAATAAAAACTAGAAAATTTACCTTCAACATGATCATGTGTTTGTTGTCGACGTTTTTTATATGATGAAGTTTGTTTAACAAGTAATTTAATTGCATTTTCAAGTCGTGATTGTTTTGATTGTAATTCATTAAATTTCTTTTTTGATTCTTCTTCTTGACGAGATAATTTATTTTGTAATTCACGAATTTTACGTGATTTACTTTCATCATCTTGATTTGAAGATGGTTTTATTTTATGTGATGATGAAAATAATTCTTGTTGTTGTTGATGTTGATCATCATCACTATTTTCATCTTTGTGATATTTATTTTTATTTTTATTTTCATTGATATTGTTTAAATGATGATTGTCATCATCATCATCATCATTGAATTGAATAGATTCAATACGATGTCTTTGTTTGTGACTTGAAGGTGGTCGTCCAATAGGTGATTGAGGTTTTTTTGATTGTGTTTTTGTTTTTGTTGATGATGCTGATCGAGGTCGTCGTCGATCATCATGAAGTTGTATTGTATCAATAGATTCTTCATGATCATCTTCCTGTTGATTATGTTCATCTTTATGATATGAATCATTTTTCTTATTTAATGATCCTTCGTCAAATGATGTATGTGATCGTTGATGATAATTTTGATAAGCACGTTTATAAGTTGTTGCATTTTGTGGTGATAATTTTAAATAATCATTATTGTATTCTCCACCATTCCATGTATCATTTAAACTAATATCCGTTTGTTGTTCTTCATCAATAGATGGTAAAACAGGTGCAGATCGATTAAGAGTATCTTGAATAAATTTTTTCGAGGCATGTTTTTCTTCATTTTTTTGTCTTAATTTAAAAAAAAGAACATAAAAAAGCTATTCATTCAGCAGAGATGATTTATTGAATTTCGCTTTTACTTTTCAACAAAATTTGATAATGAATTAAGATCAACAGATTGTTGAGTTTGAGAGGATGTACGTTCAGATTCTTTTAATCCACGTAATGCAGAATTAATCATTGTACGAGCTTGTTCTTTTTCTATAGAAACAATTTTAAAAAATATTTATGATAGATTCGTTCAGACTAAATATACCAGCTGGTGAAGCTGAAACAAGCCATGATTGAACATCTTCCAAATGATCCGTACCAAGTAATTGACAAAGAACTTGTAACATCTATTTTATCGAAAGGTTACATATCTAATCTTAATGTACTTATATAAAAATACTTGATCACCAATAGTTTTTTTTCTTTTAAGTGCTTATTAAAAGTAAATCTATCTTAAAAGTCTTATTATTAGACTGTAAGTATAGTTTAATGCCAAGTCGATATACTGCATTTATGATAAAAAAGCACTAATATTTATGTTAAGTAATACAGTGAAAATTCTTAAGAAATGACATAACATGTTGTTTTTTTCAACGTGCTTTCATTAATGGACCCTATGACATAATTTAAAATCTTTACAAAGAATAAAAATATGTGAAGTATACAATGTAAATGCATCGAAAACGACGTAATTGATTCGAGTTGTTTTCTTAAATAATAACAATCTTAGTTTTCTATAGAAATTGAAAAATTAAAAACTGATCATTAAAAAACCTCATGATTTTTCGTATGTACAATGCTTATCTCTTAATCACTAGTACTATTCCTTTTTGAAATTAGCATATTCTTTTTTTTGTATTCAACTGCAAAGCAAATATTGATTATTTATATGACTTGAATGCAAAATTTGAAGAAAAACTCATCACTAAATTCAGGGCAAACATTTCAAACTTAATGTGTCTTTATATTTAAAAATATCTCAAAACTACCGCCTTTCGTCTGATAGAAGTTCCATGGCTTTTTTGTTTTTGTACTACTTCAACAATCCTTTAAATTGTTTTGTTTCTAACACACCTCAAAAACTTATTTATTTATTTAAAGTTTATTTTAATTTGATTCCTAAATCACAGCCTTGCGTTATGTCAATAAAATCTTTCTTACAAGCGTTTTTATCGTAAGATATTTACTCTCATCTCTTAGATCTGTACCCATTACATTGAGGTGTATAGTAAACAAAAAAAAATTCTTTATCAAAAACTTCTTTTTCTTACCCACATTTCTCTTTCATTTTCAGGTACATGAAATAACACATCTGAATATGCTGTACCATGTTTAGAACCTGTACGACCTCTTGATAATGCAGCGCCTTCATTGAAACGACCTGTTCGTGTTGAATAATGAGCTCCAGAACGTGATGCATGTTGTTGATCAGCAGTTGATGTTGGTGGTTTATTTGAATGATGTTTATCTTCATCTTTTTCTAATCCTAATCCACTAGCTGTTGCTAAAGCTGCCAATTCTTGTTTCCAACGTTCTGTATCATGAACTTAATGAAAAACAAAATTTGTAACACAAATGAATAATATATGTATATGTGTATATATATATATAAGAAACTTACTAACGCCATGAGTATTCCAAAAACCCATTGGAGGGACTAGTCGTTCAGCACGACGTGGAGTTTCAAATGCAGGTAAATTAGTTCTATTAAAATTCAGTGAACTAGAACGCATCGAACTAATTACCGATGGATCATCATTTACATTACATATCAATGCTCCATTTAATCCTAAATGAATAATCAAGATCAATTAGAATAAAAAAAGGACTCATGATACGTAATGATATAATATACCTTCAATATGACGCACACGTTTTGGTTTAGCAGTATTTCGAATAAAGAACATATTCGATGAAAGTTTTCCGAAACGAGAACCAGGACGTGAAGATGTTTGCTCAAAAAGTGACATAATTTTCTAATTATAATCAAGTTAGTAATTTTTTCTTGATATTTCAAATACTACTAAAGTCGCATATACTCACTGTTTTTCAATTAGAAAATATCTTATTATTTATTTGAATCGAATAACAGAATATGCGTATTTCTTTTTCTTTTTTTTTTCTCTCACTATTTCGTTTGTTGTTTTAATAAAACAAAGCGATGTGTACAGATTTAAATGTTATTTTCAAACACTACGTTTGTATTATGTGTCAACAAAACGAATAAAAAATTGAAACAATAGTAAAATATATCTAGCTACACATTAATTCTTTTCTTTTCTTTGTTTTTCTAAATGTCGAAGTTTTTATGTCGAAAAAGAGCAAGAACAAATTATACAAGTAACAATATACTGTTTTTTTATTCGTACTTACATTTAATTGCTATGTTCAAATTTTAGTGTCACTTTCGATTTAAAGGTGAATAACGCATCTCATAAAAAGTCACTATTCATCCAATTTTGTTCTTTTTCTTTTTTCTCTTTCTTTCGTTTTCTTCTTGTTAGAAGATTTTTAAAAAAAAAAGGTACACTTAATTTTAAAGAGCATTCAACAAGTTTGTTGTTTTTTTCAAACACTTCGATGTTTACTTGCCTACGAACATCTCATAGCAACATCGTTTACGACATTGCATATATACATATGATTCTGCATTTTTTTAAAAAGAAAAGTTTTTTTCTTTTTTTTCTCTTTACTGTTGGCTTCTATTTAAAAGTGATGAAGAAAACAAAAAGTAGACATTACACTATTTATGTGTATGTTTGCATGCATTTTCCTTTTTTTTTTTTATTGCTGCAAATCAACAATTTTAAATTGATGTTAGAATAGTACATTTATTTTTCACTAAAATAAGACGCAAAAATAACGGATGCGATTCAATACGACAAAAGAAAAAAGAAACGAGAGAAAAAGAACAATGCATTTCAATTAATAAAATATAGCATTTGAAATATATGAATAGCTAATGGAGAATCAATCATCATATTATGTGTGCGAGAAAAACAAGATAACGACTTTTTCCTAATAAATGCATGTTCAATACAGATATATTCTCGCTCCGTCTTTTTCTTATTTCACATTTAGCTTCCGGCCACTGTCGACTGGATTGACACAACTAATGCGTACTAATAAAGTTTTCTAATCGACTACGACTGGAAAAAGAAAGATAGGAAAAAAAAAAGACATTGAGAGCATTTATAGAAATGTAAAGACGTCTGGTTTTGCTTGTCAACTTCGATATGAGATCAATTTACATAAAAAGATGATCAATTCTCAAGGATTTAGTTTTGTTTCTTTATCATTTGCCATCTTGTTGTCATGTTCGTCTAGTAGATTGAGTCAAATCAGAAAAAAAACATGACATATTTAACTAAGCCGTTTAATGTCCTACGAGAATTATCTATAATCTTGCTATGTACTAATATATTATTTTCACATGTGAGTACAAATGAAGTTGAACTTCGACGATTATTGTTTCATAAACGATTATATGATCAATATGTTTGTCCAGAAGCAGGCGTTACTAAAGTTCATACGAACTTAATTTTACTTCAAATTGAAAGTGTTAATGAAAAAGCACAGGTTTTAGTTTTAGTTTTATTTTTGATATTTTTGAATAATCATTCGATTTTCAAGTATAGATTGTAACAAGTAATATTCAATTGACATGTGCATGGTGTGATCCATATATGTCATGGAATGCTAGTCATTTTAATATAACTGAACTTTCAGTTGGTTCAGGTTATTTATGGACACCTGATGTTATTGTTGTCAATTCAGCTGATGGAAAATATTCTCGAAATCGAGAAAATTATGCACTTATTCTTCGACATGATGGTATGTATATATATAGAGGCCAGCTATAAACGACGATCTAGTAAAAGTTGCATTTTTTTAATCGTTTCCCTTTAGTTCGAATTCGTCCGATTTTATCGACTGCTTTCTAGGCATCCAGTATAAAAAGAAAACAAATTTCTAGAAAGTGACTGCTTGCTCAAATATACTGCTCCCTTTTTATTAAATAACAATTCACTAAATAAATATATCAAAAATAGAAATGAATAAATACACATTCAACAAATACCACTATAATATGTTGCAAAGTTTTTGTTTTTGAAAACAGATTGTTTTTCTATGTGCAGAGAATAGTAAAAATAAAAATGAAATTCAATATGAATGACACTCAACGATTTAGAGACTAGCTATCTATCAATGTAACATAATCTTCAAGTATTTCAGCATCTTATTGATATTCAACTGCTTCATTCAATTCATGTTTTTTGAATTTAAAACATATAAATTAATCTTCAAAATTTCCTCGAAAATTGATTGAAACAAAGAAAAATATTAATAGTAAGTGTCTGAATGTTCAGAAATGTTTGCTTCCACTATTCTCTATTCAATTTTGATGCATTCGACTCCAACCTACTTTTTCTAGATGTTCTTTATGGATGGGTCGATAGTTTCTGTTCAAGTTCAAAGAGAATTTTCAGTTAATAACCGGTAAAAAAAGGTAACCTTGAGCGGAAATTCTATTTCTACAACTATTGAGACGTTAGTATCCGAATAATCTTCTTATTTACAAAGCATATTGAAGTATGAGATGGTAAATTGAGATTTTATTTTTCTATAAACATCTTAAAAGATTGTTCAGTTTTGAAAAACAATATATATTTTAAATAAAAATCCATAGTAAATATATATTTCTTTCTGCTTTTTTAGGTTATGTTCGATTTATGTTTCAAGATTTATGGAAGACAATTTGTAAAGTTCGTTCAACTTATTTTCCATTTGATCAACAGAATTGTACAATAATAATTCGTAGTGGTTCACATGATACTCAGTCAATTAAATTTATACAACGACGTCCTATTCAAGCTCGTTCATTTATACGTGGTGAATGGGAATTAATTCATTCTTATACAGAAATAACTGATGAACGTGTATCAGATTTTGGTGAAGTTGATTATAGTCTTGTACGTTTTACATTAATATTAAAGCGTAATCATTTATATTATTTAATAAAAATTATTTTACCATTTACACTTGTTTCATTTGTAACATTATTTACATTTTTATTACCACCACAATCAGGTGAAAAATTAACATTAAATGTTACAATATTATTATCATTAGTTATTTATTTACAATTACTTAGTGAATATATACCAAAATCTGATGATGAAATTCCAATATTAACATTATTTTGTAATGCAAATTTTTTTTTAGTTTTTTTATCATGCATTATGACTGTTTATGTTCTATATTTATATCATCGTCCCTCAACATCACATATAGCCTGCGTACCAATATATATGAAAATAATCTTACTTGATTATATAAGTCCATTTATTTATTGTAGTATAAATAAGTATAGAAGAAAACAAGCATTAGTAAACAAACCTTCTGAAAGAAATCATCCAAGGCGTTTAAGTAGTATTGAAAACAATATATGTCATATTTTTTCTGTAACACCATCGATTCGAACAACTAATCAACAGGTAATTAAAAAAACAAAACAACATAAAATCGAGTATTTCTAGATTTTTTTTAAAAGGCTATTGAAATACTTAAATGTTTACAACAAATAAAAACATTTATACGTACACAATGGTTATTACCATTACAATTACATAATGAACAGGAAATTGGAAATGATTTATTGAAAATTGATAATCAGCAGCGTTTACATGAATGGCAACAAATAGCATTAGTTCTTGATCGTCTTTTTTTTTTATTATTTATTGTAGCTATGCCATGTACAACTCTATTATTTGTATCAGCACATTTATCAATTGCAAATGATTTTCGTTCAAATTTAACAAATATTAAAACACATGCAGCTGATGCAAAATGTGATTTAATATATAAACCTATGTTACAATAAAAAATTTATTTTATTGATTGTTCTATGAAACATCGATATAAATGATACGGTTTTTCATTATGTATATAGGATCGTTGACCATAAAGTGATTGAAATTCTCGATTATATAGTGAACGATATTCATTTTCATCAGTAAAATCAATTATTTCAATATATTGTCGATTTAAATTATCAACATGAAGAATATTTTTTAAAATAAATATTATAAAATCAAAACTAATAAAAAAGAAAAGAATTGTAATTGTGATCCAATATGATGAAGAATTTTGTGATAATCGAAAAAAATGAGTATTTTGATTAAGAATTTTATTATATGATATGTTTGAAAGATTTAATATAAGTTCATAACACAGGTTTTCCGTATTATTACAAACTAATTCTATTGGTGGATTCATAGTTCTATCTTTTTTTGTTTTTTGCGCCTAAATTGCTTTGAATTATTTGAATGATTAACTCAATCAAAATTCTTCACAATCAACGAGACAATCACTTCAAGTGATACATCATATTGTTGAACGAAAGCGACGGCATTAAAGGTTATCGACTATGCTCATTATCAATTAGAGCATAAGTGATTCTCTTAGACCTTTATAGATTGTTTTTCTAGATAATCGATTTTGAAAATAAATAGAAATTAATTTTTGATTAGTCTAAATTATAGAGCATATCAAATTATCTACCAAATGGATAAATTTTTCTGTTTTAAATCAATGTTTTTTATTTTTTGAAAAGAAAATACAGCCATTTGAATTTTTACAAGAAAAGGATTACGAGATCTTACGAATTGACCGAAAAATTTCAAATTTCAACTTCTTTTTTTTCGAACATTATTCGACAATCTGAAGTCTTTCGAATTGTAAAGTACCAATATTGCAAAGCTCAAGTGGAAATGATTTTGATTTTATTAATACACCATTGGATAGAATGTGATTATTTGATGGCTAATATATGGATTTTCAATTATTTCCATTGTTTTGTATGAGAGGAAACTTGAAAATACTTGTAGAGTGTAAAAATGGATAAAACTGCTTATAATAGAAATATTAAAATATCCTACCACTTTTTATTGTCGAAATATTTCAAGTT